AGTACAAAATAGATATATCTTGGTGCCATGCAAAGCTGCAAAAAACAAATAGAGAGAAACTAAAGCTTCACTAATCTAAAGCCGCTTACTTAGAACTTAAAAGCTTAATACAACTTACATAGAGGTTTTAAAAAATCCTAAATTCTCAGTTCTATATAGCAAACTCTGTAAAAATGGTGCACGAGCAAAATCCAACACCGTTTTGCCTCTTCTCGGCTGGGGAGAATAGTGCTGGAGGACGGCGACACCACTGATGGGCACTACCATGGCTGGAATCGACGGGAACCTTGATGGCGGGAAATAAATGTTGTGATTTGGGGGAGATTTAGGGGAGGTTAGAATTTGGGGATTTTGTATCAACTTCTCAGCGCGAAATGGGGATAAGGGAAGACTTCTGGGCCGTGTTCCTTTTTTTCTTGTTGGGCCGGATCAGTGCCACGTCATCAAATTTGAAAAGCTGTGAAATGGACTGTAAATCGGGACTGTAAGAGAAGCAAAATCCACCTCTTCTTTATCCGTGACTCTCTATTCCCTAATACACACACATTTGAATTACTATTTCCATCATCATTCTTCAACCTCAAATTTGAATTCTTAGCCTGGTTTTTTTATTCTGTTAATTTATTGCTTGAATTACCACCTTTTTCACTTTCCATGTACAATTGCAGAGCCTTCTTATGCATCAACTTCAACATATTCAAGAACTCATTATTCCTAGACGGAGTCAAACTCTGCTGCAACCCAATAAGCACCACAAAACCAGGTGAAACCCTCATAACCTCTTCCACGGGCCGGTCAGAAAGACTTTGGACTAGCAAAGCAGCCAGCCCTTTAGTGAGCATTGAATCAGAATCTGCCTTAAATATCACATTTTTATCACTCTCAAGATATGCTCTGACCACACCTGCAAAACACAACCTTGCACTTTATTTTCACTTGTTTTATATTGAGATTCTAAATGCTTTGAATTTCTTCCATAGAACAACAACTATTCATACTTGGCCCTTGGTTCTTGAACTGTCTGGAACAGTTTGATGATATCTTGAAACTTTGGAGGCAACTCTTCAATGGGTTGGACAAAAATTGAAGGGGGAGAAGAAGATGGGGTCGATCAAAAGGATTCTTTTGTGGGTATTCTTTGAAATGTAATTGACTTGGAGAAAAAGAAAAAAGTTGTGGGTGAAGAGGGTAAAGATGGGATTTTTATGGGTTTCAAGAATTGATTTCTGGAGTGATAAAAAATGAGAGCGTGTGGGATTTTAGTAGAAATCGACATGGGTTTTGGATATCTATTTAAGAACTGTGTTAAATTCTCGGATGAATCTTTTGAACTGTGATTTTGTAGAGAGCAGGTGAAGAGTCGAAAGAGGAGAGGGGCAACAGGTGATAATGGGATTTATTTGTACTTCTTTTTAAAAAATGGGAGTGAGATTGCAATTTATTTTTTATTTTTTTTGTTTTCCTTTTGTTTTATTTAAATAGGAAGGTATATTTGTCATTTTACAATTTTTAATTGAAAAATTGAATAAAAATTGATGAAAAAAGACGTTTTCCACCATGAAACATTAAAATATGGGTGAAAATGCAAAAAATTGAAATGAGAGGACATTTTGCACACTAAGAACAAAATGTAGAGACTTTCTGTGCTAATAAACCAAAAGATTATCGATTGTTTTATTACAAGCCCAATTTTGATTTAATTAAAAATCGAATTTTTAGCCGATAGTGATAAAATTCAATAAGATAGTTTTTAAAAAATTGATAAAATTTATGAATTTTATAAAATATATGAATAAAATTAATTCTTGATTTTGGCTTAAATATTTCACAAGTTTTTAATCTACGCTAATTAGCGCATAATAATTATTTTAGATACTATCGTGACTATCATAGTTGCACTTGTTGAGTCCTTAAATTTCCAATGTTGATGCCAAGAGAGATTTTATATTATTTAAGAGGTACTAAATACTTTGGGTTACTTGAGTAAAATTAGAGAAGTCCAAAATCAGTAACTCGTGTTTGGTCCTTATTTTTTTAAAATTTATTTTTAATTATGCATTATCTCGATAAAATAATTTCAAATAAACTCATAATTTTTTCATACTTTTTGACCAAAAATTCATTGAAATTACTTTTCACGAAATTTATTCGCACAAAATCTCTATCAAAGATGGACTTAATTTAGGGACAACCAAGGCCAAAAAGATGGTCACTTCTCTAACTCCAATAAAGATAACACATT